CCTCACCGGTAGACAATTCATGCCATGCCATTTCCCGCTCCGCCCTGCCAGTCGCGTCGCTTCAGCCCCGCGCGCCAACATTTCTCCGGCCCTCACCCCATGTTCCACCGGTTCCCGCTTCGCCGCTAGCCATAACCGCTCTCACACCCCTCACCCCGTGTTCCACGAGTTCCCGCTTGTCCGCTGACCGTAACTGGTCCCGCGCGGAGCCGCCTTGTTTCTGTTGGGCCTCACGCGAGGACCGCTGTTTGCTTTAGTAGTATAGGGAAGTTTTTTTGAGGGGGTATTTGGAGGGTAGCATAGGTGGTTTTGCAACAACTGATCCAGGCGAGCAATCTGGAGCCCTAGTCCCTGAAGTTCTGATCAGGCTCCTAAAAGAAAGAGGTCACACAAGATTTCGCACACTTACCTCCTTTTGCCTCATCGAAACCTTTCACACACCTGTACGCCAAGACCACTAGCAATGCAACCTCTCATGTGCTGCACAGAAGAAGTTGGTTCCTCCCAAAACCGTAAACGATGGAAAGAAATTCCATCGTCAAAGCATGTACACCTGCCAATGTGTGTGTGTTATAACTCATAAGTCAACACACAGACTTGCACAATGACCCTCCCTGCCCTGAAAAGAAATTATCTCCACAACAAAGCATTTGCAATTTTACACCTGTGTGTGTTATAACTTATAAGTCAAGCCACAGACTTGCACAACGACCCTTTGTGCCCCGACAGGAAATTACGTCCACAAACCCCGAAGATGACACACCTGACCAGACAAGGGTAGAAAATGTCATGCACAGGGCGCAACCAATGTGCGGCACCTCAAACCCACATGACGCAGCAGAAGCCAGCCCCATCACAATTTAGTTTACCAGTGATGTATAGCTGTGAAGTGAGTACTATATCCAACGCATGTACTCAGTTTCCATTTGAATGGACCATCTGTGCAACTTTAAAAAAAAAAAAAAAAAAAAAAAAAAAAAAAAAAAAAAGATTTCTGTTTTCCCTTTGTTTTTTTTTGGGGGGGGAACACAAGTACAACACGTTATTAAAGTTTATTTATTTAGTGCTCAACGATTGTTTGTATGTGAAAAAAATCCAAAAAACTGTGGACTCAGGACTGTGATATAAGATGGATTATGCAGGCTTTTTTTAAAATATTACAGTGCGAAGGGCGGCCACCTTCGCTCACTTTCACATTGCTCCTCATTGCGGTATGTACTATGTACATGAAAAGAAAAGGTCCAGAATCTCAGATCAAGTGATACCATATCATAAAATATTAAAAGATGGCAAAGTGAAAAAGAAAAAAGACAAAGGTACGGCAAGTTCAGACTCTTTCAGTGCAATACACTTGTTACAGATTATTTATTTAATAAATTATTATTTAATATTTATTCATTTTTTCAATTTTTTCTTGACTCCCTGCTTTTTTTCCTTCCTCTTGTATTTTTCTCTTTTGAAAGGCCGATGACCATGAGATATCATCGTTGAGCTGACTGCCCCCACGTAATTCAGAATTTATGTTATATCTCATTCGTCTACCTCCATCTGGATTCGAACTTGGGTCTGTATTTCAACAGTTTTCATGCATGTACCTGGCTGGTTTGTTGACCTTTGTTCCCATTTACGCAAACAATCTTACATTCTGGGTGTTTTACTATTCCCATTTATGCAAACAATCTTACATTCTGGAGGTGGAAAAACAAAAAAAATTCTAAAAAACAAAACACAAACGACGGACACAAAGTGTCATTCGAAAGCCATATATGGGACTCAGACAATCACAGCATCTCAAAACAAAAAAGGACTTGGCAATCCCCATACCTCGTCATTTCCACAAACGCTCTTTTCTTCAATCTTCCTTTCACTGGCAACATCCCACAGCCGTCATGTACCATGAGAAGGAGGCGGTCATTTACGATGATGCAGTGTAAATGACACTTTCAGAAGACACCAAAGGGTTTTATAAGAGGCAGAAACCAAAGTGACGCTCATTATTCATTCGTTTTTTGGAGAAATTTGGACTTACGTCATTATCTTCCAGATTCCGCAGGCGAGCAGCCAGGTACCGAAGTCGAAGTCGTCGAAAAGTCRAGCTACCTTACTCTTGTTTGCTAAGTTATTGGAACGCACTGCTGTGCTGCAGTATATTGCTGCGATCAGCGTGACCAACAACACTTGGGAGTAGCAAAGTGTCACTCCAAACCAGCTCCAAAGTGTCCAGATTCCTTCAGAACCTCCACCAGAAAGTGTGTCCAGATTCCTTCAGATTTGTAAGTAATCGCAACTTACAAGTCGTGAGATTGTCATGTGCGGTCGTCACATGACGAACATGCGCACCCAATGTGGTTCACATGACACAGAGTTTTCATAGGCCGATGGCTCGATTCTTCCCGGATCACGGAATGTAATACGACGGCAGAGATCGCCCCTCCGACACCTGCCATTATCGGTCCACGATCTCCCCTCTATACCGACGCATACAACTCCATACTCGTTTGTACACATGTCTTCCTTCAGCACGATCGCTGACCGGAGCCAGCGGATTGACGTGTCCCAGTAAGGCTACAACTGTGGATGTCAATCCTAATGGGGAAGGATAAGCCATGAAACACGATTCCCAATGACCTTGCTACCGTCTTCACCCAAATACAACGTACGGTCATTATTGCAGTATCTAGACACAACATTGCCCCATATGCATGACCGTATAATGTCATCGGGTGAAGGCGGTAGTCAAATGTCTACACTGCTCCGCACCTGTGGCTGGTAGATGAATTGTACACACAACAAAGCTGATTCACACACACACACACACACACACACACACACACACACACACACACACACACACACATCATTCGGTGGAGTGTGATCGCAGGGTCGGCAAACAGAAACAAAAGCTGAACACGGAGTGCTGCACGCATCCGTCTGTGCTCTGCACCTGTGGTCAGTTCAAAGCAAGTAACCTGGAGCCTTGTTGCCCTCAAACAGAAACAAAAAGGTGGATATGAAGTGCGCCACGCATCCGTCCACGCTCGGCAGCTCCAGAGCGACGAGCACAGGCAAAATAAATGCACGCAAAACTGTGTGGACAAAGAGAGAAACAGGAGAACACACCAGACGCAGTTGCGAAGGGCCAGCAAGCGGAAGACAAAGCTGTGAATGCCACCAGAAGAGAACATACCAGACGCAGCTGTGAATGCCAGCAAGCGGAAGACAAAGCTGTGAATGCCACCAGAGGATAACATACCAGACATAGCTGTGAATGTCACCAGAGGAGGACTTGTCGATTTCCGAGAGAATCCACATCTATAATTGTGGTCGGATGCGAGTACGCCGCGAGTCCGTATAAGATAAAACTTCTATTCAAAATCTGGTCACCAGCTAGGCAAACGGACGTTTCCTCTGCATGACTATCGAGTTTGTATCATCAGCTAGTCCTCATAGCAAAAGTGGCCACTGTAGTGTCGGCTTGGTGCCATGCCTATGGTATAAGACTCACCGCTGGAGAGGCACACAGTAGGCTGCGGGCATCAGAAGAAGACGTCAACAACATCTGCCACCCATGAAAGGAAACCGAGATAAACCCCACATAAAACACAGGAACAAGTCCAAAGGACTGTTAGGAACCCATTTCCAATGCACCTCCATCCCAGAGGAGAAATTCAGGCAGGAGGAGGAGGAAGGGGGGAGG